CGCGCACACACACACACACACACACTAACACAAGCTCGCCGTCTGTCGGCCACAAGCACCACCGCTTGCCGCCACCAGCCCGTCGACGCGCCTCATGATGTGACACTGGAGGTTCCCATGTAGTATATGAGTGTTATACTAGTTCATATAATAAAACATAAAATAAATGTTTAATTGAAACGAGCGAAATTTAATTGATTGCATTCTATTTATTAAATGATCCAAGCCTAACATTCTCGTTTATTAAACAAGCAAGAGTTCAAACACGGCGTATTTGACTCAATTTGGCTTCAAAAATCACTATTGCTATGTGTAAAATTTCAAGTACGATATTTTCTCAAGTGTTTAATGTAAATTACAAAACAAACTAAAAATAGATATTATTAACAATGTGTCATGTTGTTTTAGTAAATTAAAAACATCTTATGCTATTTTTTTAAGCGTATTTATACAAAGATCTTCGCATTTAGCATAAAACTTGTCGATTTTTTTATATAGTAATTTTTTATTCAAAAAATAGCACACGTAATTTCTTCCTATCTACTTAAAGTTGGCTTATAGAAATTAATATAATTTATTTCAAATACTACTATGAGATGAACATTTTATTATATAGGTCAACCCAACATACTTGTTATATGATATTTCATTTAAATTGTGGAAATCCAAATGCAATTTCATTAAATAAGCAGGTTAAATCAACATATTTGTTATATGGTATGTCACTTAAATTGTGGAATTTCAAGTGTTGTTTTATTGCATACGTTACGCAAACAAATGAAATTAAATTATATATTTCATATATTCAAATATCATTTATTTAAAAGTCAACAAGTAATTGATATATTTGACATGTAATGTCATATAAATAATACAAATTAATAGCAACTTAAGCCAAACATTAAAGTGAAAATAAAGAAGAAAAAAAAAAGCTATAACCACATAATATTACATATTAAAAGATTTGAGTCGTGTCCAATATATATATAATTTGTTTAGTTATAATAAAAAAATTAAAAATAATATGGACTAAATAATTTTATCATTAATTAAATTAATCAGACATGAGCTAAAATATTTTTTTTCCTACTACATATTTAGATAAAATAAAAAAAATATGACAAACAATAAGCCAATGCATATGATCATTTGTAAAGTTAATAATAACATTTATTCTACTCGAGTTAAAAGACAAGGAAGAAGAAAGAAGTTGTAGGAGAAAAACCACACATAAAGTGAAAATGTAAAGCGTGATGGGAATTTATTTTCGAGCAT